TTGACTTATAATGTTATAATATAAACCCAAAGAACATCTCAGCCTGTGTCTGGATCTATCCTTCCTACCTTCCCTGGAACATTACAACGTTGATGATTTTTTTCTGCTTTCAATCTCTTTCACTGGATCTTACCAGAAATTAAGCATAAATGAAATGTTTCTCATCTTAAAGGGGAAAATTCAGTCCTCTTTTCCTCTTCTTTCAGCTCAGCCCATTCTTTCTTGTCCAGACGGCCACTTTGTCCAGGTGTTTGTATTCAGTGCTCCATTTCCTGCCTCTTACACATTCGTCTGGCCCCTCAGAAGCCCTCCACAGCCACCCCTGCTTTCAGCCTTTACCTGACCTCTCCCCAGCTTTCTACTGTGTCTGCTTAATGCCTCCATGACATCTTGAAGAGGACACACCTGATTTTCCTCCTTCCTTTCAGACATGTTCTTTTTAGCTTCCTTAAGGCTTATTCTTCTCCACCCGACATTCAACTTTCAGCTTCCCCTCTGCATTCTCTTTCTCTATTATGCTGGTGAGACTTGATTTCTTTCATCTAGTTTGTTAGCCTGAGTCAGAGTCCTGTATCCATGTATCCAACTTGCCCTCCTGTTAACTTCACCTGGATGTCTCACACATAACTCAAATTTAGTGGGTCTTAAACTCTTTCATCTTCTTCCTGAACTCTGTCTGGCCTTCTTCCACTATTACCTGACCCTGCAAATTGTGTACATTCTTCTCAGATGGGAAATCTGTGCATCTTTCATAAGTTCTGCGGTTCCCTTCTCAAATCCACTCAAACAACCAAGTACTCTTTTATCTGTGGAAAACTTGGATCTATCTAGTTCTTTCCACTTCAGCTGCTGTTAGCTAAATCCAAGTAATCTTTTCCCACCAACATTACTGTAATGACTTCTCCTTTGGCTCCTCCAGCCTACCTGCCAGCCTTAGTTATGGACTGGCCTTTAAAACCAACCTGTCATGGGTCACCCAAGTGACTCAGTCAGTTAAGCAGCTAACTTCGGCTGAGGTCATGATCCGGGGTCCTGGGATTGAGCCCTACATTGGGCGCCCTGGTCAGCAGGGAGTCTGCTTCTCCCTCTCTCTGTACCCTACCCCCCCCATTCGTGCTCTTAAATAAATCTTAAAAACAACCCTAATGTGTCATATCATTAGGGAAGGAAGGACTGAAGGCTTCAACCTCCATACCTTAAATCAATGTCAAATTAATGGCTTGAAGAAATCTTTCAAAGTGAAAGGAAAAGCCTAACTCCCAACTCAGTAAAGTTGAAGTTAAAAAGTATTCACTGGGGATCCCTGGGTGGCGCAGCAGTTTGGCGCCTGCCTTTGGCCCAGGGCGCGATCCTGGAGACCCGGGATTGAGTCCCACGTCGGGCTCCCAGCATGGAGCCTGCTTCTCCCTCTGCCCTGTGTCTCTCTGCCTCTCTCTCTCTCTGTGACTATCATAAATAAATAAAAAAAATTAAAAAAAAAGTATTCACTATAATCAGATTTATAGTTATCTGTCTTTTGCTTTTCAATGAGAGTCTCTGTTGAACATCCTCCCTCAGTACCCAGACTGTTTGTTATGGTATTTGAATTTGATTCATAAGCTGATCTATTCCTTTCAAGAAACCTTTCTGGGGAGTTGTGTGGTGGCCTGAGTGCCCCATGGTGACTCTTTTCCTAGCATCTTCCTTCAGTCATTCAATTGTTAGAATAAATCAGTGTGGAGACATGGGCCAAGTGTAGCCTTCTGCTAAGCCCTGAACACACCCTTCCAGAGGAAATAATGATGGAACTTGAAAAGTTGTTCCTGTGAATTCGCAGGGCAAAGGATGGTCAAGACTCCCAGTGTCCTGGGAGTAGAGGTTACTCACTGAAATATGCCCATCCCTTAACTTGAGAGGGCCCTCCAGCTGAGCCACGTGGCACCCTTTGCCATCAGTTGTTGTTGCACCTGCCAGTAGACTGCACCAGGCTCTAAGAGGGACAAGTCTGTAGGTTTGCAGATGCCATTATCCCATGGAACTGAACTGCTATCCTTTTCTCCTCAACTGGAGCCATCCACCCTCTCCTGCTGGTGGAGAGTGCCAAGAAGCTCGAAGTCTATCCACCTCTCCATCAAAGGGCTTACTGGGGATGAAACCCCAACAATTTGTCCTGCCCAGGTATTGAGAAAATTCTTCTGATTGGTGAAAATACATTTGGATGTGCCTGGACAAACAGCTTTCTAACAAAGCAGATTGAGTAGAATGTAATAGTATAGCCAAGAAGAAAAAAGTCACAAAACTACTATTAGCATCTTCTTTCTTTACCTTAATCATAGAAAAGAGAAGGTGGCTTTACTTCTTAAGGCTCCATTTATGCTGTATGATTCCAGAAGAGAATAGTATGAGGGGAAGTACGTTGAATAGACTAGGTAGAAAGAGATAAAGTGAGAGTCTGGGGCAATAGATGGAATAGCGGATGGGAGGGACCAGTGCATTGCTGGGATAGGCCTCCCCGATCAAAGGATCCTATGGGTGTCAAGTGTGTGGTGAGGGGCATGGACTCTGAGGTACCTTCAGGGCACCTGAAGTAGTGACATACAGGAAAATATAGCAGGACATCAGTGCTTTGTGCTGACAAATAGAAAAATTGAAGAACATTGACCAAGAATCTAGATCCTCCCTTAGTTTTCGGATACCTTCTTAACCTGAAGATTTTTCTATAATACCAAGGAGCAGGGCCCAAAAAGAATGACTGAATTTCTTATCAAAAGGGGGCTTGAGGGGATCCCTGGGTGGCTCAGCGGTTTGGCGCCTGCCTTTGGCCCAGGGCGTGATCCTGGAGACTCGGGATCAAGTCTGTCAGGCTCCCTGCATGGAGCCTGCTTCTCCCTTTTGCCTGTGTCTCTGCCTCTCTCTCTCTTTCTCTGTCTCTCTTGAATAAATAAAATTAAAGGGGGGGGGGCTCGAAGTAAATGAGATTTTGCTCCTAGTGTTAGAGACTATAATTCATATAGTCAAGCATTTTGAAAGGGAAAATGAAAAACACTGCAGTGTCATCTCATAACATAGAGCTTGTGAAGAAATAATCATAACTGAAAAATAATACAATATAGCTATTACTGAAAAAAAATAACTGTTCTTGAACTGGGGTCTCCAAACTACTACTTGTGGGCCAAATCTAGCCTGCTCCCTATTTCTGTGAGTAAATGTGCACTGGAACGGAGCTACCCTTTATGCATTGTCTGTAGCCACTTCGATGCTGCAAGGACAGTGGAGTTGAAGCTATAACAAACTCAATGGCCTATTTACTGTCTTGGTCTGCAAGAAAAAAATTGTGGATTCTGGAAGAGGATCAAGTAAAGTTAATTTTCAATGCAGCAAAACTACAAAGAGAAATAAAAATGAGTGAAAATACAAGAAAATGGGAAGATTATACACACCCACTTTCTCACACACAAATACAATCCACTGTTGACCTGACGGTGAAACAGAAATTGCAGAAAGGAACACAAAGGAGCATCATAAAATCATCATACGAGACGCCTGGGTGGCTGAACGGTTGAGCATCTGCCTTTGGCTCTGGCCGTGATCCTGGAGACCCAGGGATTGAGTCCCATGTTGGGCTCCCTGTGGGGAGCCTGCTTTTCCCTCTGCCTGTCTCTCTCCCTCTCTCTGTCTCTCTCCCTCCCTCCCTCCCTGTCTCTCTCTCTCTCTGCATCTCTCATAAATGATTAAAAAAAAAATCTTAAAAAAAAATCATCCTAGAAGAAAACTTCTCCAAGATACAGTAAAACCTGTGTTCAGATAGACAAGGACCACCACCTACCATACAGAGCACTGGATGGAGAAACCAGTGAACTGGGAGATAGTCCAGTGTCATCATTGAACTGTGAGGATGAATACAAATATTTGTAAGGAAAAACTGGGGCTTTTTCTGGAATTCTAAACTGCAGCCATAAAAGCTAGAGGACAGTAGAACAATGTATACTGGCTCCTAAAATTAATGTATGAACTCTCCATTTTTGTGGCTTTGTAGAAAGTCATGTTTTAATCCTGAGGTGCTGTCATTTGGGTCTGTCTTGCTGAGTTTTTAGGATTTATCAGGATGACACCAACATTTCAGTAGATAAACAATGTAATATCTGGAGTATATTGTTAAAAGCAGCACTGGCGTTAGGACACTGAGTCAGCTGTGCAATGTCCCATTGCAGTGAGATCATAGCATCTAAGTGATCATGGGAAACTTGGGACTGATTTAAGATAACCTTTGTCTCTGGCAGGATCTCATGATCAGTGAAACAGGGTAAGGAAATCCCTCTAATGAGGTGAATGGGCATATTGGTCAGGCAAGGAACATAGCTAGTAGCAGAAGTTACTGTGACACAGGATTCTGTACCCTGTAAGAGGTGGTTGTCAGGGATTAGGAGTCCGTAAACCCCGGTGTAGTAGGCTGAGTTTAGATAGGGTTTCATTCCCAGCCAGCTCAGACCAAAAAATTGAATGAACTGGGACCACATCTCCAAACAGACCAGCTGGTTGATTCCAGTGTGGAAGGTTGTGGGGTGTAATCTAAGTAATAACTGTCAAAATAATGTCGGTTTGTTAATGATGAAAGCTAGAAAGTAATGTTAAAATCAGTGTTGTACTCAAATCACCCTGTATCTTCTTTGCTAACAATAAGAGTGACTGGTGATAATGTCGCATTTGCCTTATTTCTTTTAAAACAATAAAACCTAAATGGTTACTACACAAATAAGGCAGTGGCCAAAGCTAGGCCAGATAATCTACTTTAAGTTTTACATAATGAACTATTTGTTTTGCTTTGCCAGTCATTTTGTGTGTGTGTGTCTATGTCTCTTGAGGTAACTGTGGTAGTCCAAGATGTCGGGATCCTGATGTCCTGGGGGAAATTGTATTAATTAATGGGTTATTAAAATCATTTACCCATACCATATAAATCCATCAGAATCAATATGCTGCTAATAAAATCTTTTCTCAACACATTCTTCCCTGTAATTTAGAAAAGGCGCCGGCGGATTGACCGAAGCATGATTGGAGAGCCAACAAATTTTGTGCACACGGCTCATGTAGGATCGGGAGACCTGTTCAGTGGAATGAATTCAGTAAGTGTGTTGATGGGAGGTGCAGATGGGGTGTAGACTTGTGTCACCTGTATGATATGTACATCCATTCTTAATGATTATACAATGCTTAGTGAGTTTGTAGGAACTGAATGTAAGTACAGAACATGAGCATAGAAGAAAATGACCATGAAAACTTAATCTTTCGTTAACTTGCCAAAGTATGCATGTATTTCTTTGTTCTGAAAAAATACTTAAAAGGAGATGAGTTTAGAATGAAAGTTAATAGCCCTTTGGCTCTCCTGCCTCCTAGCAGAGGAATGGGGGGATGTTAGCCTTTTAGTAATATTTAATTTCTTTTCTCTTGATTAAGTTGCCTTCTGTGAACATGTTTATTGCATTTACCTTGTAAAATACTAGCTTTTTCTTGATATCAGAATGTTTGTGATTTATTCATAACTAATGTGAATACTTGAGTACTAGGCAGAGGATTATACTTTGTGCATATTTGCAGTCTTTATTCTAGAGATTTTCATGAATTTCACAACAGACTTTAGATTTACTCACTTGAATTCACTTATTCCTTAATTTTCATCTAAGACAATATAGTGCTCTCTAATAGAAGCATTGCCAAGTGAGGGTTTGTGTCAGGGCTCTGCTTCATTTTTGTCCTAAAGTAAATAAGCCATTAAGTATAGAGAGCCTCTTAACCCCAAATCTAAAGTAAACAGATGTGTCTAAATGATCTCTAAAGCGTTCAGAATCAGAAAGTCAATTAGACTTTTATGAATACAGAATTAACGAAAGATTTAACAAGAGAACAGAGACTTTTAAAATAGGTAGATGGATATCCTGGATACAGCAAAGAAGTTGGTCACATCAGTTACTAGGCAAGCAAACGAATAACATTTGTAGCTTCCTGGAAAGGAAACAGCTTGTTTGTTTTAAATCTGTAGGAAAAGTACTTTGTTGTTCAACTGCTTTTGTGGAAATTTAAGAGGTGTCAGGTTGCTGTCAAAATACAATTCAGTAGCTTTGTTTCCCGGATCAGCATGAAATGAGAAGACCAAATGGGAACCTGTGACATTCGTTAATGGGGTTATTATAATACATATAAATAGAGTGAATGGTTTCAAATTTATTATACATGCTGAATTTTAATTTCTTAACAAATGTCTTCTGCATTTCATATTTTAAAACTATAGGATGAATTAAATTTTAGTTGTTTATTTCACTTTTTAAATACTGTTTATGTACATTTCAGAATTTCCTTTAAAATTCTTTTTTGACTTTTTGTTTGCGCAAGGAGACTGTCGTTGATGTAGGGGACTCTTGTGGCCATCAGTTTAGCTAGAACTTCAGGATGGTCTCTTGTAGGGCATCCATGGTCCGCCTCTTTAGCTGAGAGAGCTGGATCAAGACAGGCCCTCAGCTGTCAGTCTACCTGCTGAGTCCAAGGCACCCTTCTCTGCTTACATTTTTTTAAATGAAGTGTCTTAGCTCATTAGAACCTAATGTGTCTCTGAAAGGTTTTTTGTACTTAACTTTAGTTTTTGTTTGTAATGTGACATGCAGCCTCTGACACTCACAGAGCACCAGGTTGGTTCTTCACACACTTCTGTTGGGCTCAGTATTCTGTAATCTCCGAGTTTTCCTGAAAGTTGTATCAGTGGATAGATGTAACTTGTATGAGCCTGATTCGGTAAGAGAATTCTTTGCGTCTATGCAATAGTGCAAGGGAGACAAAACCAAAAAATGTTGTTTATCCAAAGAAATAGCTTGCCTTAAGTTAGTCTGTCCTAACAACTGTGCAGCATGTATGAGGTACAGGGCTTGATGCGTTTGGAACAGCTCTGCCACACTGGATTCCTGAACAGGGGAGTTTCTCTTTTCCCTTAAATACACTGTGCTTCTCAAGATTACCTTTCATACTAACTTCTTACCAGAAAGGATCCCATAACTCTTTTAATAACATAGTCTTATTGTGTTAAAAAATAATATATACACAGTCAAAAATAAGCCATTAGAAAATCCAAAATCTGTAGTGTGAAACTGAACAACTGACTTTTGGAGGAAAACAGTGTTCTTGCTTAGAATCAGCATGACGTTATGAATGCATGATGTGAAAATACAAACATGTTACTTTTCATGAATAGGCCTGAAATACCTAGGAAGGGTAACATGTTAGGGAGGAAATTATTTGGTACCTGGGTAAAATAAAGGTTGTGCCACAAAACATGTTACCTTAAAGGAATAGGAAATGAACTTGAACTGATAGCTTATGCCTCTAGCCTCTCAGACCCGGCACAAGGACTGAAAATAAACAGGCCGATATATTTCAGGTGTTTTTTTTAATACCCTTACCTGAAGTAGTCATTTGAGTAATGTATATATAGATAAGGCTGTAACACATGTGATATCGCTAGAGTAATATGTTCCACATTAAGATTTTCTCACTGAAACCCTTTTGGATCTAAAGAAGCTATGCATTTTATTTTTTGCTTTTTTTTTCCTATTATATTTAAACCTACCTTGCTTAGAAAACAGGCAAATCTTAACTACTTTGTTTAAACATACTGACTCAGGATCACCAGTGAAAACACATCATAGTCAGTATTTGATAAATGGATGTTGTTACCAACCCTCCCCTCTCCCTCCGAGGAACCCTGGGCGGGTGAGGAGACCCACTGAGCTGATTGCCAGTGCTCTGACTCCTCACTGTTAGGGCGGCACCTCCAAAACGTCCTCACTGCTTTTTATAGCATTCTAGCCTGATTGTCTGCTTCCAAACTGCTTCTAATTGGTATCAGCTAAGATTGGAATAATGTTAATCCACTAAGGACACTTCTCAGCTTGCCCATAAGTTCATGTGGCTTTGTTTCCACTCAGTAAGAGAAGATGCAGTGTATCATACAGTCCATCAGAAAATAGCCATCTTGGGTGAGGGGAGGAGAGATTATCACATTAACTATTTGAGAGGATAAATACTTAAACCAGAGTTAAAATGACTGAATAAGTAATTTTGAACCACCATCCAAGTCTTTGGATTCTTTAAGGCTGTATCACATGGGACTTTAAAAATTTATCTTGGGATGGTCCAATTTCATTTGTATTTCTTTTTGTTTGATTCTAAGTTATTGAGGTGATCATCTCTGTGAGGTGTCTGTAAATGAAGAACTTGAATTGATGTGTGTAGTTCAGTTTTTGAAATGTTATCACGTACATTGTGAATTATAAAATAGGTTAGTGGGGAGAGGAAGTTGAGGCCTGAAAAGTTTTTTTTTTTTACTAGCTTCACTATTGTCTAAGGGCAGTCAGAAATTTAAGTCTATAAAAAATTTTTGCTCTAAAAAGTATCCTCCTTAAAACTGCTTTAGCTAAAACATTGAGACCAGAATCAGTTGTATCATCCCTAGTTCTTGACTTTGCTTTGTTTTTGTCTTGTTTTAGGTTAGCTCCATCCAGAACCAGATGCAGTCCAAGGGGGGCTACGGGGGTGGGATGTCTGCCAGCGTGCAGATGCAGCTTGTGGACACAAAGGCTGGATAGCCCCTCCTCCCGTGAGTACCTGGGACATAGTCTGAAAAAGGCAAAAATAGTTTACTAAGTGTTTCAAGTGATGGTCATAGGCACTTGGAATAGTAGTTTTAGGTTGCTCTTTCCCTTAGGAAGAACAGTAAATGCTTTAAGACATCCAGTGAAGGATGCTGTCCTTTAAACATCAGTGAAGTTACTATTTTGAGTGTTGATACTTTGGGGGATGCCATGTGTAGCCAAGTACCTTTATGTTTTACACTACATTCTTGATAAATCTCTAAGAAAAGTTGTCTAATTTTAAGTGTAAAAATAATTTAAATTTTTCTTTTGGTTTTGTAGGTCATTGTGAATTTCTGTGTTTTCTCTTTTCACTCTTAATTTTTTGTTTTTGTGATTCCTTTTCAAATACATAAAAGAAGTGTGATGGCATCTTGTTCACCCTGTTGTGATTCCTCCAGTGAGACGTTCTTGTTCTGCTCTGAAGAAGCTGTTGTCAGATGAACCCTGCATTTCCTTCAGCTGGCATGCATGCCTTTGGACTCACGGACTTTGGATCGTGGCTTAATTTTTATCAATTATGGATCTGATCTTAGCATGATCTTTTTTTGTGAATGCTAGCACTATTTTGCTCCCCCCCCCCCCATTTTGAAAGTTTCTATTTCCATCTCCAACCCTCTGCCTTATGAGTTTGTTGGTAAGGTAGGACCTGCTATTGTTAATTTGTTACCGTTTCTGTATATTTTGGAAGGTATGACACCCACAAGCACAATGATCATTTTTATTCATTTGAAACATTGAGAATAGATATCTGCATGCTTTATGAAGTTGCTTTGGGAGCCCACGGGAGGCCAGAAATGAGTGTTTCTTTGCTGCTGTGGGCTGAGGGTAGCTGCTACTGTTAGAGAAAGGTTAGCTGTGGCACCAAGTCGCGTCAGTTTCACACACAGACACAAAGGTAACCTGTAGCTTATTTTAGAATTAAAATCTGGCATTCATAAGGCATTCATTTGGTTGTAAATGTTCAGTATATTTATTTTGAGAGCAAGGACCTGTGAACAGGTGTGGGTATATATCAGAGTTGTGGTGATGCCCTTGTCCAGTTTCATTGCGTACTCATTCTGTTTGTACTTGTTTTTATTTTAATGCAATGGGATCCGTTTGTTAACTCCTGGCCGGTAGTACCACCTGCAGAGTCTTTGGCTTCTCCACAGTCAGACCTGTTTAGGGGCAATAGAAGTTAACCCAGAGCAACACAGTGACTTCGCTGAATCGTTGCCAGTGAAAACAATCTGTGGAGAGACTGTTTTTTTCTAGGACAGTGATGAGAAACCTTTGCTCAGGCTCCAAATGTTGATTCTTCACAAATTATGTGTATTTCTGTAAGTACCTTCCCTATGAGGGTGTAGTGAATGTATGTTCATTAGTCTGATTCAGTCCTAACTGTGTTTAGTAGGATTAACATTTTATGCAGCAAATGGGACTTAAGTGAAAATGTAGAGAGCTAAGAAATTAGATAAGTAATTGAATAAAGAGTAATTGTTTTCTCTGCATCTTAGTCCCGGGGTCTTATGAACCGGGTAACTGGATAAATAGCCAGCTTATAAAGGCAAACCAGGAAAGCATTTCTCCTCCATCAGTGCTTTTGAATTTACCCAGTGCAGTGGGGTGCTGGATTACTCAGTGCTTGGGTTTCTGCAATTCGAGGCTTAATAAGTGGCAGTCCCAAAGAGAGAGCCTGTCAAGGAAACATTTATGCTTAGTAAAAAAAAAAAAAAACAAACAGGCATTTTTGCAGTTGACTTTACTGTGTGGATACTGCATTCTGGAATTTGCTGAGTAACAGTGTCATTCTGTGTCCTGCCAGGAACACTGCTTTGTACAAGGTCTTAAAAAGACAGATTGGATTTTCTGGGCCTTGTCAATAGTGCTACTTTTTAGTCTCTTTTGAACTTTTAAACTCACAGTACAGGGAGCCCTGCTTCTCTTTCCTGAACTCATGATATGATTTTACTTTTATTTTTTCTAATCGATATGTTGTTCTGTGGACCAAATACTCCAGTGAGTACCAGAGTGTCCCTCCGTGGAAACTCCGAGGCTACACTCTGAGTGTGTAACTGACCTACAGTAGCCACACACCAAGGAAGGTGCCAATAAATTCAAGAAGAAAATTACAATAAATCTTAATATACTAACCTTGGACACAAATTTTTTAGGGAGGCTTGAAGAGAGTGTGAAGGGCAGCAGCTTCCCCCACATCATAAGTGGGATTGTAAATCTTGGGCAGTGTGTCTCATATTAAATCCTAAATAAATAGGATTGTTAGTACTTTGCTGAAGTACATGCTAACAAACATTTAGCACGGGAAACTGAATGAAGGTTTAACCAATGCCATGGATTCTGTTAGTGATTTGCATTCAGAGGTGCTTTCCCATGATGTAGGCATGAAGTGGTGCCAATAAGTATAGACCGGAAATGTTAACTATGGTGACTGGGTTCAGCATTTCCAATGCAGCATTATCGCCTTTAAAGTGGGCCTTTAAAATATTTTGTGAGTATATATTAGCTTTCACTTTTGTTATTAAATTATAGCAGTTTCATTATAGAGAGCAAGTTTGCCTTGATTTTGTTTAAAATGACTTCTGCTCAGCACCCAGAAGATAAAATTGACATATTTTTATAATATAAGCATACTTTTTTTGTACATTGTGTTCATTCAGTGTTGGCTTGTAGATATTAAAAGAAAGTATTGATTTTGATTCAATAAATGTTTTCTTTCCATCCTGGTGTGGTTTTTTTCATTTCAACTAGAATTTACTCAGAGGACCTTTCTAGAATTCTTGTACTTTCAGTTATTACTGTCCTGCAAAAACCTTCACTTTTTAAGAGAGGAATTAAACATGCTGAGGAAGCTGTGAGCTACCCTTTTAGGCAGGTATGCACCATTTCCAATTTGAGGGGGCAGTTGATGGTTTGTTCCCCAAGAAAAACTTCCAATGTCTGGAGGCAGTTTGGGTTGTCACAGTCTGCAGAAAGGGTGCTACTGCCATCTGGGTGGTGGGGGTAGGAATCAGCACACACACACACCCCAACAAAAGTGCCAGCTGAGAAGCCCTGGCTTTAGAACAAAGATTATACTCACTAAATACATCCAATAAGAGACTCCTCACTGCATTGGACCTGGTGCATAAGGTCAGTTAGGTTTGGCTCAATCATGAGATGTGCCAAGTAAGGTTGTCCTAAGGAAGAAAAATCAATGAGAAAATTGTCTTCATTTCATGGCCCAAGACTTTAAGAGGAAATTGGGTTAAGATAAAGTTCTTACCACAATGATAAAATAGTTAACAATAAGGCATCCTGATTAAAGTATCTGAAGAAACTGATGGTGGTTTATCAGGAATTCTATTTTGAGCATGTTTTCAAAGGTTCATAAGAAAAGCACAAAAAGGACAAATCTATCAAAATGGTTTTAGAGCCATGGTCAGGTATTTGCTAAAACCTGTGGAAATGCAAAAATCGACAAAACTGTCAGGAAGGAAATTATTTATCCTCTGCTTAAAATATGCTTGGAGCACACCTGCATCTTAGAAAGTAAGTGATAGGGATGCTTGGGTGGCTCCATGGTTGAGTGTCTGCCTCTGGCCCAGGGCGTGATCCTGGAGTCTCAGGACTGAGTCCCTCATTGGGCTCCCCTTGAGGAGCCTGCTTCTCTCTGTGTGTCTCTCATGAATAAGTAAATAAAAAAAAAGTGAAATGTTAACCTCCAGTTAACATTTCCTCCATGTCTTCATCCCGCATGGGCTAATAATAAACCATTGAACCACCTCCCGTTGATCAGACTTTATATTTTAGCACATTAACTTTTCATCTTTTTTTTTTTTTTTTTTATTTATGATAGTCAGAGAGAGAGAGAGAGAGAGAGAGAGAGAGAGAGAGAGAGAGGCAGAGACACAAGCAAGCTCCATGCACCGGGAGCCCGACGTGGGATTCGATCCCGGATCTCCAGGATCGCGCCCTGGGCCAAAGGCAGGCGCCAAACCGCTGCGCCACCCAGGGATCCTAACTTTTCATCTTTGTGATGTTTTTGATGCTTTCTACCAGGTGGCTACAGCCTCTGGGCTGCTTTTGACCCCTATACCCTCATCCTCCAATCTCCTCATCTTTACAGTTTCTGTCTGGTCTGCCTTTGATGCTCAAAAGAAGGAAGTTACCACCAGAATAAGGAGATCCAGATGTTTGATCTGGAGGAGTGGTGGTGGTCCTGGCATCACAGACACTGTCCAACTCTAACCCACACTCCACAGTTCACAGGAGCTTTTATAACCGCATGTGTGTGGAAGCTTTAGATCAATAAATGCACCGATAGCCTGCTATGGGAGACCAGAAAGGATTCTGGGTTTTTGTTTTGGTCTTGCTCCTTTAAAGGAACAGCAAGTAAGGTAATCACTGAAAAATCCTCAGAGCTTCACCTAGTCATCTTTTTCTTAATTTATTATTTTCAGCTACCTTATACATCCTTTCTACATCTGGGCCTTTAAAATATTTGAGCCCACTAAGTCTTAACATTACACCATTGTTTCACTGTTGAGAACTAGTGCAGACAAGAGGTAAGGATTGTTGTTGCTGCTTTTGGCAAAGCCACCCAGATTCAAAATTCCAAGCACTGGGGTGCCTGGGTGCCTCAGTCAGATATCTGCTTTCAGCTCAGGTCATGATCCCAGGGTCAGCAGGAAACCTGCTTCTCCATCTCCCTCTGCCCCTTGCCCCTGCTTGTGCCGTTGCTCTCTGTCAAACAAATGAATAAAATCTCTTAAGAAAATCCAAACACTGATTTTTTAGTTTTTGCTAATGTCTATTTTGTCACATAAAAATTTTAACAAATTTCTGCAGGTTTTGCTCATATCTAATTTTTGCTGCTTGGATAGTGTTTTTGCTAGGGCTGTGGTAACACAATACCCCAGACTAGATAGCTTATAAACAATAAAAGTTTACTTCTCACAGTTCCGGAGGCTGGAAGTCCTAGATCAGGGTAGGGTGCCAGCATGGTCAAGTGAGGATCCTCTTCCAGGTTGCAGACTTCTCAGATGCTATAGGGGCTAGGAATGTCTTTACATGGCATCTCTTCATGAGTGACACTCTACTCACACACACCTCCCGATCACCTCAGCCTCCTACTGCCATACCTTTGGGAGTCAGGATTTCATCATGAACTGTGGGAAGATGCAAACATTCAGACCATAGCACGCAGCTACAAAACCCAAGTAACTGCAGCCACCTCCAGCTTCTGCACAACGGAACTAAGGCTACAGGTAGCCAGGAGCCTCTCAGAATCAGGTTCTACTGCAACTGAGAACCAGGAACAAGCTGTCCCCTCACCCACCAAACCCCTGCACTGCCCTACCTCTGGTTGGCCTCTGCCGCACCCTCATGCCATACACCTCAGTTGTGAGGAAACCACCCAGTCCTGGTTTCTCCCTCAGGACTCAAGGTAAATAATGAAACTTGCTTGCAACTTTCTGGCTTGCTGCAGACTGGTTTGTCTTCCTTGACTCAGAACGTCGTTGGAAATGGTGGCATAATGTGGAAGAAAGTTGGGAGACTGCTGACGGCAGGCATGGATGCAGTAGCAGGTTTGAACTGCAGGTGGTCTGAAGACCCATGGATGTCTGGGGACAAGAGATCACAGAAGAAAAGACCAGACATTCATGTCTTCTGAGAATAGGCAGGAATGAAACACTCATGGAAATGAAACTGTTAACAGCAGTTGATATGTGGTGAGGTAGAACAAAAGCACACATGCAGTCCCAGGCAAGATGCACCTCCAGGAGAGATCAGAGAGGACCCTGAGCCTTTAAGTTGGGCTGATTAGTGAAGGCCCTGTGTGAACCCGGTTTTCAAAGTGGGAGAGGTGTCTGCTTTTTCAAATCTCAACAAATTTTCAAATTTCAACAAAATCCCCAATCTCAACAAAAGATCACAAGACGGAGAAATGACATGGCTCATTCAAAGGAACAAAATACATCACTAGAAACCAATCCTTAAAAAATGCAGACCTTTGACTTGATGAATTTAAAACAAAGGTCTTACGTATGCTCAGTGAGTGAAATGAACGTGGACAAATATAAATGCTATTAAAAGTACCAGGAAGAGAAATTACATTTTCTTCTTTCTAGCTTACTTTATTGTAAGAATATAGTATAGAATATCTACACAAAATAAGTTTTACTTCGTATGTTGGTAAGGTTTCTAGTCAAAGACTATTAGTAGTTAAGCTTTTGGGCAGTCAAAAGTTGTATGTAGGCTTTTGACTACATGGGGTGGGGGTTGACTGGTCAGCACCCCTAAGCCCCACAGTGTTCAAGGGTAAACTGTATAATCAAATTATCAAAAGTCAAAGATGAAGCAAAGCAAAAATTCTCAACAAAATACTAACTAGAATTCAACAGCATAAAGGATTAAGCAGGATGACCAGCTGGGATGCATTCTTAGTGTCCAAGAATGGTTCAGTATGAGAAAATCAATCGTGTGTATTACACCACATTTACAAAATGATGGAGGAAAAACCTGTATGATCACTACACAAAAACATCTGACAAAATTCAACAATGTTTTATGGTAAAAATATTTAAACTGTTAGTAGAAAAGAGAATATTTAACATCATACTCCTACAATACATAACATCATACTCATTGGTGAAAAACTGAAAGCTCTTCTAAGATCAGGAACAAGACTTGGTTGCCTACTTTCTCCCACCTATTGAACAAAATACTAGAAGTGCTAGCCACAGCAGTTAGGCAAGCAAAGGAAACGCAGGTATCCATACTAGGAAGGAAGAAGTAATATCATCTCTGTTCACAGACAGCATGATCTGATATGTAGAAGGTCCTGAAGATTCCACAAATGAAAAAACATAAACTCCACAAAGCTGCAAATTCAAAATCAGCACACAGAAATCAGTTATGTTTCTATATGCTAATACTAACATTCCAAAAGGAAATACAACAGTTTCATTTATGATAGCATCAAAAAATTAAATATTTAGGAATAAATTTAACCAGAGTGGTCAAAGACCTGTGCATTGGAAACTATAAAACATTAGTGAAAGAAATTAAAGATACAAGAAGAGGGAAAGGCATCCTGGGTTCATAGATTCTAAGACTTAATCTCAAGATGTCAAGTTCTATACACGGTGATCTACAGATTTAATGCAATCTATGAAAATCCCAATGGAATTTTTCTTTATCAATAAAAATACCCAACCTGGGCAGCCCGGGTGCCTCAGCAGTTTTAGCGCTGCCTTCAGCCCAGGGCCTGATCCTGGAGACCCAGGATCGAGTCCCATGTTGGGCTCCTTGCATGGAGCCTGCTTCTCCCTCTGCCTCTCTCTCTCTCTCTCTCTCTCTCTCTCTCTCTGTCTCTCATGAATAAATAAATAAAATCTTAAAAAAAATACCCATCCTAATATTAATATGGACTCTTAAGGGACTCTGAAGAGCCATCTTGAATAAAAGGACAAACCAGAGGTTTCATACTTGATTATTACAGTAATTAAATCCATGGGGGACTGGCATATACACCCATAGAATCCAACAGAATAGAACAGAGATCCCAGAAATAAACTCTTCTGTGTATGTTCAACATATTCATCAAGGGATTTTCAACATCATGGCAAAACCACTTGATAAGGCCAGTCTTTTCAATAAATGCTGCTAGGAAATTGGATATAAACAATGCAAAAGAATAAAGCTGGATCTTGTCATAGTCTGTTTGGGCTACTCTAACAAAAATGCCACAGACTGGGTAGCTTATAAACGACAGAAAATTCTTTCTCACAGTTCTGGAGGCTGGGAAGCCCAAGATTAAAGTGGCAGCATGGCTGCCTCTGACAATGGCCCTCTTCCTAGTTTAGAGCCAGTGTCTTCTTTCTCTTACCTTATCTGGTGGAAGGGCAGAAAGGATCTCTCTGGAGTCTCTAAGAGCACCGATTCTACTTGTGAGACTTTTGCCTTCACACTTAAGCACTTCCCAAAGGATCCACCTACTAATACCATCAAAAAGGACATTTTCAATGTATCTTGGGGTAGAGATACCCAGACACAAACATTCAGACCATAGCAGATCTTTACCTTACATAATATACTAAAACTAAAATGGATTAAAGACATTAATGTAAGACTTAAAACTACAAAGCTTGAAAACACATTGGGAAAAAGCTTCCCGATGGAGGATTTGGCAATGATGTCTTGGATATCACACCAAATCTAAAGGCAACTAAAGTAAAAATATGTAAAGTGAACCATATCAAAATTAAAAACTACACATAAAAAATACAGTGGAATGAAAATGTAACCTGTGTGATGGGAGAATATATATTTGCAGTCATACATCTGATAAGGGGATATATCCAGAATATATAAAGAACCCCTACAATTCAACAACAAACACCACCATTAAGAAAGGGGCACAGGACTTAAGTAGACATTTCTCCAAAGAAGATAGACAGCTAATACGCACATGAAAAGATGCTAGCATCACTAATTGTGAATGAAATGCAAACCAAAACCACAATGAGATACCACCCCTCACACCCATTAGGAGAGCTACTGTTAAAGACCCCCCCCCCACACACACCCTGAACCCAGAAAGTAACAGGTGTTGGTAAAGATGTGTAGAAATCGGAACCCTGTGCCACTGTTGGTGGAAATCAAAAATTGTGCAACTACTCTGGAGAATGGTACGGCGGTCCCTCAAAAAATTAAAACTACTACAATCATATGATCCAGCAATCCCATTTCTGGGTGCATATCTCAGAGAATTGAAAGCACAGTCTCAGAGATATTTGCATACTGGTGTTCACAATAGCATTCTTCACAAGAGCCAAGAGGTAGAAGCAACCCAAGTTACCACCAGTGGCTGAATGGAAAAAAAAAAAAAAAAACAGTGCATGTACATGTGCACACACACCACCAGGAATATTACTTAGCCTTAACCAAAATGGAAGTTCTGACTTGCCATGACATGGATGAATGAAACCGGACGACAGACATCATACCAGGTGAAACATGCCCAGCACAGAAAGACCAATATTGCATATGTTAATATGAGTGTGAAATCTAAATTCTCTAAGGTAGTCAAGCCCAGGTAAACAGAAAGACAAACAGGTCAAGTGAGCTTATTCAAAGGCAGTGGCAGGGTAGAAAAACCAGGGAAACCAAGTATGATATTCAGAGTAGGATCAGGTGTACAACGAGAGCCTGCTTGGGGTAGACTCAGCCAGCCCACTGACAAACACCAGTCGCACTTCAGTCACCTGACACCGTTCCTCCCACCTTCTGGTCTCTACCACACACTGGCAGAAGGGATGCCTTCGCGACTTAGATCTGTGACAAAGTGCATGGGGACATGCCCTTCACAAGCACCAGAGACCCCCAAAGAGGCCACATCAGAAGCTCAGATTATTCACCAACTGCCCGAAACCCCAGGACGAAGCTTCATCTGTTCTTCAGGCGGCAGGAGTTCTGCACAGACTGTCCGACCCAATACGAGGTCTTTGCCAGATGCCGAGACCAACGCCTACTGTGTACACAGAGCATCCTCACTGCGCCGGCAGGGAACACAGACTCTGGGGATGAACCGATCACCAACTATTTGATGTCTTCAAAATGAAGCCTCAGATAGCACACACCTGGTCAGACACAGATCTTGTCAGAGCACCCCACATGAAAGGCCCCATGTGCCAAACTCGGACATGGCCACGGGGCTTTCCTGGCACGCTAGGCACAGAGGAAGGGGGAGGCCAATAGTCCAGGAAATCAATGAATGTAAGTATGCGTTCCCTTGAACTAAAGAAACCGCTCCATGATCTTCTTGGATTTCAGAAAGCAGGGCCGTTCTTTGCCTTTCATGATGCAGGCACCCTCCTTCTTCTGCTCAGTAGTTTGTAAAATCAGTGGAGGTTTCTCTCCTGCCTTGTTAGCCATTGGCAACTCTCAGATGATAACAGCTAACCAGAGAACTGGCAGGTGTTCCAGTGCAGCTTGAAGCTGTTCTCGGGCAAGGTCCTCACGCCTTCCCTAGTCCCTAAAAACAAGGATTTATAGGACTAGTAAAGGAGAAAAATCACCTGCATAGGATCCTACTGAAATAGGTAGTACCAAAATTAATTATGACCTCTATTTTCTTTCCCACCTAAGAAATAAACAGAAGGCAAATTTCCAGCTCAGGTTCAATGACTGGTTTATTTATTAGATCTTTACTAGTTCCAGACTGCCGAAAGCACTTTACAGACCTGGCCTAACGGCAGAGGGGACAGGGAGCTCAGTGGAAGTGCTTGGCTGTGGGGCTGCTTGAGGGTTGGTCGGGCCCCTGGACAGAGGGGATGAAGAGATGGTTAGGAAACACAAGTCTTGTACTAGGAATGGGCTGTGCTCATTCCCACAACCATCCTGTAAAAGAGCTTTTCCTCCCTATTTCACAGATGATAGAACTGATGGTTAGAGAAGGCATGAAACTTGCTCAAGGTCAACAGCTAATATAACCGGGTATATCAGGTATGTAGTTGACACGGAATGCCACGGAGGCATATAGAAATTGACCTCTACCTATACACTAGGAAATCCAGGGAAGGCCTCACATTGGCCCACCTGCCATCATTGTATACACACGTGTGTGTGCGGTGTGTGTGCAGAGGACTTGAAGTCCCACCAGAATACCATGGCTCGGGGCAGGAACAGTTGCTTTAAGGGATTTCACCAGTTGTTCTAAGACAAAGGCAGGCAGGGAAGGTTGCAGGACAGAACAGGGACCACGAACAAGGGGTAAGCACCTGCCAGCACTCACCTCCCAGGGAACAGGTAAAAGAGTCATCTCATCTATGCCCCTCTGCTAGACTTAACCCTCCTTCCCCATCACCTGGATTTGGGGGGCGGGGAGGCATGTGGCTCCAAAGCCTTAAACCTTAGTGCTTGTCAGGAGCCCAAATGCAGTAACATTCCAGGCCCAGTGGACATGAGAGGATTCTGTTCTTTTAAACAAAAAGTGGAAACAGGAGGAATGAGGGGAAAACATTTTTTAAATTGG